TAAAGCAAAGCAGAAATACATGTGAACTTTTATCTTACAGTTTTCCACACGACCGGGTGATTCTTAACTGTAAGGGATTGTCCTTGGAAGTATGGACTTTTCAGGTGGCGTTGTCGTCTGGGTTGTGGTCCTCGGGTGGCGCTGGTTTTACGTGTGAGGCGTGGATCTAGGCAGTAATCCCATCTACCTTGACAGCTGTTGGGGTAGTCAGGAGCACCAGGTAAGGTCCTTTCCAGCGAGGCTCCAGCGAGTGGGGGTGGTGGCTCCTCACGTAGACAGAGTCCCCAACCTGGAACTGGTGAGAGGTTTCAGGGGTCCCGGGTTCGTAGATGGCCTTTAGGGGTTCCCAGACTGCCTTCTGCACCGCCTGTAGTCCTTTTAACCTGGCATACAAATCATGGTTACGATGGCATTCAGGTTGTAGCCTGGAAGCTGTAGGGACAGCTGTGTCCCCCAGCAAGGTTAAGGGTGCTGGGGCACCATAAAGAATTTCAAAGGGGGTTAGGTTAAGCTGGGAGGGGGTATTTCTGACCCTAAATAGGGCCAGAGGAAGGAGGACCACCCAGTTTGCGCCAGTCTCCATGGTTAATTTGGTCAGTGTCTCTTTTAGGGTTCTATTCATCCTTTCTACCTGCCCTGAACTTTGGGGCCTGTATGCACAATGTAATTTCCAAGTGGTCCCCAAGAACCTGGCCACTCCCTGACTTACCTGGGCAACGAAGGCAGGTCCGTTGTCAGTACCAATTACCTTGGGCACTCCGAAGCGTGGAAAGATTTCTTCCAGGATTTTTTTGACCACAACAGAGGCAGTCTCTTGTTTTGTTGGGAAGGCTTCTACCCATCCTGAAAAGGTGTCTACAAAGACTAGGAGATACTTATAACCATATTTACCAGGTTTGATTTCAGTGAAATCTACTTCCCAGTATAGCCCTGGTCAGTCTCCCCTAGGTCTTTTGCCAAGTTCAGTGGCACTCTTGCATACATTTACTTTTTGGCAAGGTTTACAATTTTTGACTATCTGCTCAACTAGTCGTCTAAGTCCTAGGACATGGTATTCAGGTTTTTTTTTTTTTTTTTTTTACTGGTGTCTTTGGACAGTTCTGCTATGTCCTCCACTGAGTACCAGAATAATGGTTGGCATTTGAGCCCTTCTGGCTCAGGGACACTCACCAGCAGTACATCCGAGGACCCGTGGGTGGCCGCTCTAGCCTCAGAGTCGGCCAGGTTGTTTCCCTTTGCAATTGGGGAGTTTCCTTTCTGGTGCCCTGGGCAATGTATGATACTCACTTTTAGTGGTCCGAGGAGGGCCTCCAGCAGGGCTATAATCTCTGCCTTGTTTTTTATTTCCTTTCCATCTGAAGTCAAAAGACCTCGCTGTTTATATATTGCACCGTGCACATGAGCAGTGGCAAAGGCATACCTGCTGTCTATGTAGATGTTGATCTTTTTATTATTTATTTATTTTTTTTAGTTTTAGGGCTTTTGTGTGAGCGATGAGTTTCACTTTCTGGGCAGATGTCCCAGCAGGCAAAGCCTGAGCCCATACCAGTTTCTGGCCATCCACCACTGCTGCCTCGGCTTTCCATTCTCCATTTTTCAGGAAACAGCTGCCATCTGTGAACCAAGTGGCCTCAGCATCTGGTAGAGGCTGATCTGACAAGTCTTTTCTCCACCCGTGGGCTTTTGCAAGCACTTGTTGGCAATCATGGGTGGGCGGGTCGAGGTCTGGGTCCAGCAACAGCGAGGCTAAATTTAAGCTTGTTGGTAGAGCAAAGGTTATTTGATCTGGGTTTAATAAAGTCTGATAATGAGTCATGCACGTGTTGGAGAGCCAGTTGTCAGGAGGCTGGCGGACAACATTTTCTAAGGCATGAGGTGCTGAGATTACCAAGTTTTGTCCCATAGTCAATTTATCAGCATTTTTTACTAGAATTTCAAATGCAACCACGATTCTCAGGCAAGCTGGCCACCCTGAGGCAACTGGGTATAGCTTTTTGGATAGATAGGCCACTGGTCTGTTCCAAGGTCCCAGTCTTTGGGTTAGCACCCCCTTTGTGATCCCCCTGTTTTCTGCCACATACAGGTGGAAGGGTTTGGTTACTGTAACAGAGTTACCTGAGGGTTGGAGGCCCAGAACATGGCCAAGTCCTGGTGGAAGGCCTCATCAAACATAGTAGGAGAATTTTTAAATCCTTGAGACAAACAGGTCCAGGTGAATTGTCCCGTCAGACCAGCCTCTGCGTTTTTCCACTCAAAGGCAAAGCAATCTTGACTCTTCGGAGCCAACGGCAAGCAGAAGAATGCATCTTTGAGATCTAGTACTGTGAACCAGGTCCTGTCTGGAGGTAAAGAACGTAAGAGATTGTAAGGATTAGGAACAGTGGCATGGAGATCAGCCACACACTTATTTACCTCTCGGAGATCTTGGACTGGCCGGTAGTCACTTGTACCGGGCTTACGGACCGGTAACAAGGGAGTGTTCCAAGCAGATTGGCACTTCCGCAAGACCCCCAGCTGGAGCAAGCACATGATGTGAGGCTTGATGCCTTCGTGTGCCTCCCAGGACATTGGGTACTGCCAGACTGCTATGGGACTGGCTTGAGCTTTTAGTTCTATGTAAACAGGTGGTCTGTTTTTAGCCTTTCCAATTCTCACCATCTCAGCCCATGCCTGTGGATATTGGTTTAACCACCAGTCCATTTGTTCAGTCTTTTGTTTTTGCTGTTCAAACAGCTGGTATTCATCTTCTAGTCTTAGAGTCAATACCTGGTAAGGCTTTCCCTGTTGATTTAACACCTGAGATCCCTCAGGGCTGAAATAGATTTGGGCACCCATTTTGGTCGTTTTTAGCCTTTCCAATTCCTGCCGTCTCAGCCCATGCCTGTGGATATTGGCTTAACCACCAGTCCATTTGTTCAGTCTTTTGTTTTTGTTGTTCAAACAACTGGTATTCATCTTTTAATCTTAGAGTTAACACCTGGTAAGGCTTTTTCTGTTGATTTAACACCTGAGATCCCTCAGGGCTGAATTGGATTTGGGCACCCATTTTGGTTAGGAGATCTCTTCCTAACAGTGGGTAAGGGCACTCTGGAATGACAATGAACGAGTGGGATACCCGGCCCACGCCAAGATCCACTGTTCTTCAGGTAGTCCATGAATATTGTTTATTTCCAGTGGCCCCTTGTACCCATAATTTTTTGGGGAGGAGGGGCCCTCCAGCTTGTAAAAGTACTGAGTGTTCAGCTCCTGTGTCTACCATGAATTGGGTAGGTTTCCCCTCCACTATTAATGTTACCCTGGGTTCGGGGAGGGGGTCCAAACCCTGACCCCCCTAGTCGCTGTCTTCTTGCAGGGCTAGGACTTTGGGGGCCTGGGGCTTCTTGTTTCCCCTCTTGGGGCAATCCCAGAACCAGTGGCTTTTCTCTTTGCGATAGGCACATTGGTCCTTAGCTAGGGACTCCTTCTTGTTGCCAGGGACTGCCTCCCTGGGTTCTCTGGCTTCTCTGACTACAGTGGTCAGGATTTTATGAAAATTTCTTTCTTGGCATTTTTCTTTTTTAATCTCTCTGGCATCCTGTTCTTTTTGTTCTCTTTCTCTCCTTTCTTCCTCTGACTCTCTGTTAAAATAGACTTTCTCAGCTATCTGCACTAACTCTCTGAGGGTTTTATCTTGTAACCCTTCTAGCTTTTGTAACTTTTTCTTGATGTCCTTACAGGACTGATCAATGAAGGCAACTGTTACTGTAGCCTTGTGTTCCTCACTGCTAGGATCATAGGGAGTAAACCGGTGGAATGCCTCCATGAGTCTCTCCAAAAATACTGACAGAGACTCATTGGGTACCTGGGTCACTTCCCTTACCTTAGCCAAATTGGTGGGGTGCTTAGCTGCCCCATGGAGACCTGCCATTAGAGCCTGGCAGTAAACTTTCAGGTGATCCCTACCTTCTGCCGAGTTGAAATCCCAGTGAGGCTGAGTTAGAGGGAACCCAGCCTCGATGACATCAGGGAGGACGGTGGGTCTGCCATCAGGCCCTGGAACATGTTTTCTGCTCTCCAGAAGGATCCGCTGACTTTCTTCAGTAGTGAACAGAACCTGGAGGAGCTGCTGACAATCATCCCATGTGGGCTGATGGGTGAAAAGGAGGGATTCTACAAGGTTAGTGAGTCCCTGGGGGTGTTCAGAGAAAGGGGGGTTTTGAGATTTCCAATTGTAAAGGTCAGAGGAGGAAAAAGGCCAATACTGCAGGGGCTGGTTGCCATCCTCATCTGGGGGGCCGTATGCCCTAAGAGGAAATGTGGGGACAGCATCTGGTGAGTCTGCCTGCCGACTACGAGTTCCTTGGGCTGGTCCGGAACTTTGCACCTCAGCTGTCGGGGCTGACGGCTGCACGGCCTGTGAACGAAGAGCTGGGGGCTAAGGAGGAGGGGGGTCCAAGAGGAGAAGATCTGGATTTGCATCCTACAGTACAGGAGGGTTTTTTTTTTTTTTTTTGTCTTCGTTGAGGGCAAACACTGCCATCAGACCTGTTGATGGGAGGAAGGGCCAAACCCACGAAGGTGGGTCTGTGACCAAGTCTTCCTACACAACAATGTATGGGACCTGGTCAGGATGCCTGTTAGAGGAAGAATTACAAATCCTGCTTTTAACTGCCACAATCAGCGACAAGGAAAAAGAACCTTCAGTGGGCCACCCAAGTTGGAAAGTTGGCCACTCTGATGAGCATAGGGTTATCCACTTATTTTTCTTAACCTGAACAGAGAGGTTATGAGCCCTAGTTTTAACATCAGTCCAATGTCTCAGAGTCAGATCCAAAGGAGTTGAAACTGCCTGTCCCATGCCACCCCAATAAGTTGTCAGTCCCAGCACACACGCAACCAGACAAATACAAACAAACACACTGGTGTGCCCCTGCCACGGACACAACAGCCGGATAATCAGAGAACTCGGGAGGGGTTTCTGTCTTAGAGACCTCCCATGGAGGCGAACTCGTTCACCCCCTTCAGATCAGAAAACAGCAGAGGGCTCGGGAGGGGTCTCTGACCAAGAGGCCTCCCTATTTTTACCCTCCCCAGAACAATCGGGAGCATCCTCCACGGTTGGTGGCTGCAGTGTGCCGACACGTCTGTCCCACTGCAAGACCACACCAGACGGCCCCACCTGGAGCCCAGATCCTGGGACTCAAACCCAAGAAAACAGAAACTAAATCACAGACAACAGAGAAGCAAATAGGGACAAAACAATGAAACAAACTACTGTGGTACCTGCTGCCCGGGCTTTCCTCTGCTCCTCAGTCTTTTGATCCCTGAAAGAGCTTGTCAGATCCCGGATGAGCCCCCAAAGAATGTAAGATTTGGGATGAATCCCAACATCAAATAGAATGGGAAGACTCGCCTCGAAGAGACCACAAAACCATGAGCAATGCAATTAGCAAGAGGTTTATTATTTCCAATGCATTGGGTTCTCACCACCAAGCTGGGGTGAGACCCCATTAGGCTTTTTAGCTGTCCTTTTATACATTTTTTAGGGGCAACTTTTCTGGCAGCCAGGAGACAAAGCCATAAGCAGTGTTTATTGGCTAACTTAAGTGACCCTAAAGCTCATTGGTTGGCACCCATCCGTCTCTAGGTGATTTCCCTTCTGACTTCTTTACTGGTAAACACTTGGCCATCTGCTGGTTTGACTTAGCTATGTAGAGACATAAAATCAGCTAAGTACTTCTGTACCTCATAGCTCTGTGGTTACAAGCCTGTGCCTGTGTTAGCAAGAAAACCACAGGCTGTCAGCTCTGAGCTCTTCCTGTGTAGGGGAGAAGTAGACCAATTCTCAGAGACCCCTCCTCAAGCAACCACACTTCTTGCCCCACTTACCCAGGTGTGATAAGACCACTACCCAGAGGTTCCTTAGAGAACATGCTTATGTGGAAAGTTTTATG